TGAACCACCCGCCGTCGAATATGACGAAGAAAACGACGCTAAATCTTAAAATTTTCGAAACACTTTTCCACAAGGTTTTAAATTTTTCAGGTTTCTACTTTTTTACTTTAATCTTAATGACTTCCAGTATTCGATTCCCGGTCTCCGCCCCTTTTCCATACAGCTTTTCTTTTGTCGTTTTCTTCCCTCCGAATATCTGATGCCCTACTTTTTCAGCTCCCCCTAATTTTCCTCCTCCCCTTCCTTCGGTTTCTCGTGAAATCGCGGGTGAATTTTAGGCCTCGAAAACACGAGCTGACACGAGCTGTAGAAAACTATAAAATTATCATATCCAGTTCTTTAAAGACTGGATTTTAGTTTTTTTTTCATGGAACCAAAACCCAACTATTAATTACCGCGAAGAAGGTTTCTCTACCGAGGCAGTTTAAAACAAATTTTTTTTGTAAATTTGGCCACCCATGTGATGTACAGGGTGTCCCAAAAAAAAAGACACCGGCCGCATTTCTCCATATCGGGTCCGATCGACTTGAAATTTTGCACAAAGGTAGCGAAGCCAATTTCCCATGAACATAGAAAGTTTCAGCCCGAACGGTCAGCGTATTCGAAAGTTATAGCGAAAATACTTTTTAATTTTTATTTAGTATGGGGACTTCTGTAATTTGCATCAAAAATGTGCGTAATTTTGTCATTTACGAGCTGATTTTGCATAATTTTTGCCGAAGAATGCCATTTGCTCCTTTGAGCTTCGTAAGAACGATTGCGCAAGAGAAACAAAATGCCGTCAAAACAATAGTTTTTTGAGCACTCACACGCATTTTATTGAAGGTTCTGTCAATTTGACATAACTTGTCTTCGACACAGCACTCGACCAGCTCCAAATTAATGATTAAATCTAAATCGAGGCTTTATACCTATGCGCAAGCCCGAGTTATAAATTAAATCAACCGGCGAACTTATGTTACAATTCTGGTTTCTTGTGCCCGGCCGTTGTGTGGATCATTTTTACTTCACATGCGCAATCGTTCTTGCGAAGCGCAAAACAGCAATGGCATTTTTTCGGCTAAAATTATGCAAAATCAGCTCGTAAATGACCAAATTACGCACATTTTTGATGCAAATTACAGAAGTCGCCATACTAAATAAAAAATAAAAAGTATTTTCGCTATAACTTTCGAATACGCTGACGGATGGGGCTAAAACTTTCTGTGTTCATGGGAAATTGGCTTCGCTACCTTTGTGCAAAATTTCAAGCCGATCGGACCCGATATGGAGAAATGCGGCCGGTGTCTTTTTTTTTGGGACACCCTGTATGTTTATTCTTTTAAAATTTTTGGGTTCAGTTATCGAGCGTAATATTTCTATTTTTATGAAGAAAAAGATTAATTTATGAGGTTCTTAAATATTCTGTCCTAACGGAATCCTGATTTTTTTAATTCATGATTTATTTTTGTTTTTTTTTTTATTTTTTTTGGCGCGATGATATTTGTTTTCTTAGTATTGTTCCGTTCTTAAAGATCTTTATTTTCCACAATAAACCTGAACTTTACGTGGTATTACTATGATTGTAATCAGCTTGAGTTTTAATAATTTTTAGATGTTTCGCCGTCTCGGCACCCACCAAACCGCCTACAGGTGCGAATCCCCTTCACAGGTGATCTCGTTTTTATTAACCTTCTATGCATTAGCTTAAATATGATATAACTTTAGAACGCATATAAATCGGATACTTTATTTAATGGTTCAAATCTAGAGCCTGAGCTCCTTGCAGTCGGACTGCTCGATCCCGATCAGTGGTACGGATCCGGATCCGGATTTTGGCGAGGACATCCGAGAGCAGGTTGGGCAAACCTGACTTTATAGCTTTAAAAATTTGTAAAAATATAATTATAGCTTTAAACAATGAATATAAAAATTAATGATAATAAATATCGGTTTTAAAAGGTTATTCTCATAGAAAAAATGTTTCAAAAAATTGGTATGTAAAATATCGAGAAGGCTTTAATGCATCCGGAACCGCATTTTTAACCTACGCTTTCAGAAAATATTAGACAGAAAATAAGGAAATTAGGAACATCGTTGATCTCGATTTTTCTAATAGCATAATTTTTTAAAACATCCAAATTTTTGCGCGCATTGATCTAAATCTATAAAATAGATTTTTTAACATATAAATGTTCTTTTTATTCATTTCGAAGCTACCGTAAGATGGCCTTGTTTCAATCTAATTACTAAATTTTTAGTTAACCCCGGTCCCGCCGGATTTCCTCCCCGAGGAGCGCATCGTCGAAAAACGCGAGCTGCTGGCCAGCCTGCAAAATGTCGCCAAAAAGGTATCGGTTTTGAGAAATACTTTGATTTTCTGTAGCTAAACACCATCGTGGCGCTGATCAACGACTTCTCGCTGGACGCGCTGAAGATGAGGGAAAAAGCCGAGGATTTGCTGGAGGAGTTGAATGTGGGTTCTCTTTCTCTCTCTCGCTCTCTCTCTATCTCTCCCCTCTCTCTCGCTCTCTCGCTCCCTCTCTCACCAGCTCTCTCTCTCTCTCTCTCCACTCTCCTAAAAGCTAGGATTTTTAGTCCCGTATCCGCCCGTCTTTAATCGCCCTCGACCTGGAGATGATCACCACGGAACGCTTGTTGAAGTTGGTTTCTTCATTAAATACAATAAATTTTAATTTTAAGCACCCTTCATTATTGAATTCAGATACAACGTCGACCGGGCCAACATCAAAGAGCACCGCATCGACTGGCTGCTCGTTTTTAATCGATATCAGGTAATTCGGTAGCCTTGAAGCGTAAATTAAGCAAAATCGTTAGTTCATGATTTAGTATATTTTTGAAACATTAAATTTTTGGACGATTCTTGAGTTTCGTGATTGTCCTCACTACATTCAAGCATTAAATGAAATTTAATTTTGATACCTGTTAAATTTTAATACAAATAAATAATAAATAATATTAGCTTTTTTATCTATTTTACTAAAATTGTATTATGTAATCGATATCCGTTCGTGCCTAACCAAAATCGGAATTAAGCAAAATTGGCGGTTTTGGATTTTGCATAATTTTGAAACATTGAATTTTCGCAATTTTTTCCGGCGATGTCTCTCAGTACAGGTATCTATACCGATTTGTAAAGTCAATGTTACAAAAAACGTTGATCTGTTTTTAAATAATTCAGACAATAATAAGACGACGACCTAGTTGCAAATTAAAACAATAAATTAGTTACTGTTTTCAACTATTAGATATTCGGTAAAACTGCGTAGTTTAATGCCAAGACTTATATATTAAAAAACCTTCAGCAAGTTCACGTTTTTAGAAAGAAATGCGCCGCGTGCTGGACGAGTTGAGCGGTGAGGTGTACGACGAGCTGGAGAACAGCTTGGCGTTGCGTTTTCGGGGTAAATTTGTCACAAAATAAATGTGCAAGCATATGTTTAAAGGGCTTTTGTTTATTTATGGCTTAAAAAGCGTCTCGAAAACACTGAAAATTAAAAAAATGATGTTTCAGCCAGAAAGCTAACCTTTTTTAGTCTAATTATCGCAATCCAGTCCAATTTCCTTTTTCGAACTTTGATTTCACGCGTTTAAACTCATATTTATTTAACATTTAGTTGTATTAACTTATTATATTGATTCGTTATAATTAATGGTCTATTAATCATTAATGATTAATTAAACGCAAATTCAATTGATTTGTAGAATAAATCCTATAGAATAGCTAAGCAATTAAAAGCTTAATTAAATTAAACGAATCAATTACTAGCTACTCAACTTCTATTTACTCTCCCTAATTTAGATATTACAAAAAATGATAATCTAGGAAAATATGTTTCACTATTTGGCAAAATAACAGATTGAATGAGTTGCGTCAGTTATAAAAATCTTTATATTTAAAGTTATTAATTTTAATTAAATATATTCGGTTAGTAAATTTTCATTGAACTTTTTGAATGTAATTAAATAGCTTAAATAGTTCAAATTTTATAAATATTTAATTTAATTCAATTTCCGGGTGATTTCAGGGGTGATCGGCCGCCGACCGGCCGGCGAGACGATGGAAAACCTGAACGAAATGCAGTCGGGGATGAGCCGCGCGTTGCAGCTGTTTGCCGCTGAAGCTTAAAAAATTTGCTGGCGATATTCGATAAATTTCCGCTAATTTAAATAGTACTTTAGAAGGGTAGTCTTGTCGGAACTTGGAGGTAAAATGGCGGGGGGATTGACATGCCAAAGAAATCTTTCAAATCAAGGTGGATTGAAACATATTTTTTAAAAGACCGGAAATTGTTTAATCTTAGGCTTAGGCTTGGCTTAGGCTTAACTTAGGCTTGGCTTCGCTTAGTAGGCTCCTGCTTAGTTGGCTTGGCTAAGGTTTGGCTCAGGCGTAGGCTTAGGCATAGGTTATGCTTAGGCGTAGGCTTAGGCTTAGGCTTAGGCTTAGGCTTAGGCTTAGTCTCGACTTAGGCTTAGGCTTAGGCTTATGCTCGACTTAGGCTTGGCTTCGCTTAATAGGCTTCTGCTTAGGCTTGGCTTGGCCAAGGCGTGGCTCAGGCGTAGGCCGGGGCATAGGTTATGCTTAGGCTTAGGCATAGGCTTATGCTTAGGCTTGCATAGCCTTAGGCTTAGGCTTGGCTTAGGCTTAGGATATGGCTTAGGCTTAGGCTTGGGCTTATCGTTCGTTTCTCCATTGTATACAACAAAACGTTTTATTCCGAGGAAAACGCTGTGGAAAACCGGGGGGAGTGGAGACGACAGGGGGAGGGGCGAGAGAACACGAAAACGGAGAGGGACTAGAGAAGAGAGAGATAGGGAGTGCGTGTGCGTGCCGCTAAAAATTCCGAGTGACACCAAATGACAGCCATCGGGGGTACTGTACAAAATGCAGCTAGACAATATGATCAAGAAAATGCCGAGTGCCGCGGCCGGGGGTTGAGCTTGAATTTTTAAACATTTAAATTTAATTCCAATAGCTTGAATTTTTATTTTCCTTTTTAAGCGTGAAATCGCTTGCCGCGCAGCCCCTTGGCGCCGAAGCCGCGCAGGTAGGCGCGCTTCCCGCGGAGACCTGAAATTAACGGTTTAAACTATAAATTGAATATATTCATAGTAAATTTTAAATTATTTTATATGTGATATCTTGTTTTAATATAATTCCAAAAAAAAATTGAAATATTAAAATAGGTATATGACCAATTGATTTTATATGTAATATCTCATTTCCAATTAAACTAATCATTTTTTTAAATATGACAATAAGTTTTAGCTAAATCCGATAAGCTTACTCATTTAAGTTTGTGGTCGGAGAATTCGTTTTTGATACAGAAATAGATGCCTTGATACGCTATCCATGTCCTTCGAAAAATTACAACCAGGAAAAAACGTTTCACTAAAATGCGGACCAGTGGGCAGCGCCGATAACCTAATGATCTTTCGTTAGAAAGCGAAAAATATGTTAATAGCTACAAATGCTGAATTTATGCTAAATAGAAAGCTGAAAATTATGCTGTTTTTATTCAATTATAGTCCTGTCTATGATACATTCCACAGCGGAAATAGATCGTTAATTAGATGCTTCATTAAAAGAACGAAGCCGTGAAAAAATGGTTGTTGCAATAAATTGCCTAGTGGTGACAGTCAGCCAAAGTACTAATAGGAGTTTGGTACAGTATCTATTTAAATTAGAAAATTTACGTGATTATTTCAATAGAATTTCTATAATACGATTAAAATCTGTAAAAATAAGCATCCAATTACAGGTTCGAGAAAATTAGTTATATCACACCATTTTCGGTATATTCCGTTCAATACAACACACTTTTTTAAAAGGAAGGTTTCGACTAAAGCGTCGAGCGGAGGGAGAGAGAAAACGAGAGAGAGAGAGAGAGAAAGAGAGAGCGTGCGAGAGAGGGATAACCTCTCGAATCCAAACTGCCGTACCTCGGAGACCGCCGAAGCCGCGTGGGCTGTCGCCAAAGTAGAAGTCCCGCTTGTCCTTGATCATCTCGCCCAGGTCGAACTAAAAAGTTGCGAGAATTATGTTATTATTTTTTGTTTCAAATAAATTCCATTTCAAATAAAATGTGTATTTTCCAAGAGAATCAGATAACTGATTTTCTAAATTTAATGATTTCGAAAATATTATTTTTAAAAAACGTGTTTTAATCACAAAGGTTATCCAGAAAATTTTTTGAAGATTGAATGGAAAACAATCCGCAAAAAATCGCAGTACGTTTCTTGCCACTTTAATGAACTTTTACACTATTTATTTACACTGTTTTAACTTTAAATGGGTTATGTCATTTTATATTGACTCTTCAACGCTTTTTATAGGCGATTTTCATGCAAAGGCCCCCCTGGGAAACGCGGCAAATTAGCTTAGAGGGACCCCGACATCGGCTGGGTGCCTAAAATGGAATGGCCACCCGAATTGGGTTAAATTTGGACGGATTTGGTTTTAATCCAATTTTCCAGTTTGCATCATAGCCCGTTTGTACTATCTATTTTTAGCCGTAGCCGTTCACTACTTGAAAAGACGGCAAAATAACGTTATGAGGAAAAAATGTGTTTCGATTTTTTTATACCGAATGGGCGAAATTTCTCGGTTAATAGAATCACACGATGATGAATCAATCTATGATATTCTCTCCTTTCTAGCTCTCTCATTATTTCTCTATCTCTCGCTCTCTATCTCTCTCCCTCTCGCTCTCTCCCCCCTCTCTCTCTCTCTCTCTCTTTCTCTCTCTAACGCTCTCTCTTATGCTAACAAAATTCATTCAAACCCCTTTAGGTTTTCAAGTCCGAGCTACACTCTTCGATTCTCAAAAAAATATGTTTTAGCGAATCACCATTCTCAGCGTTTCTTGCAGCTTTTAATTATCGGTTTTCTTTAATTATTTGGAGAGGATTAAGTTAATCTAAGGAGATAAATAAAATTGTAGTTAATAAAAAAATATATAAAACATGTGATGATGTGTGATGTGAAAAAATAATAAATATGTTTGAATCATTTCCAAAACAGTAAAAGTTTTGTCAAGCAAACTGGATGAGCAACACCTCCTTTGAAAATAAATGTTTGAAATTATCTTTGTGCCAGGTGTCAATCCATTTTTTCACTGTTCCGCGCGGTGCCGATTTTAAATAATTGCCATTTTCGGTTTTCCTCGTTTTTTCGTGTTTTCGAAATTAGCATCCGGGGCCTGGGGTGGCTCGTAAAATTCGGAACGCGACTAGGCTTAAAGAAATTGGAGGGATTAGGCGCTTTGGGCGTTTTTCTAATTGGAATTCCTGCAATTTTCGCAGCTTCTGCAGAATGATTCCGCATCAAAGAACGTCAGAGAAAATAAAAAAATAAAAAGAAACGAAAATCTATATTTCAATCAAAACTAAAAAAGTTAGAAAAATATATTTTAACCGTACGCATATATATTTTAGAAGCTAGGTAATTTATTATAAAATTTGTTAAAATTGTGAATATAACAAATCATAAAAAGCACAAAACTACTATTACGTGAACAAATTGTGTTTCGTGAAAGCAACCAGTGCTTATTAAATACACCTTGATAGTCCACTGTCTCGAGGGTCTTCAGGTTTTTCTCTTTTTATCGCAAATTTTTCGGCACAGTATTAATATAGGCATATGCCTATATATTTCCAGTCCGAATTGTTTTGCCATTGACAGCTTGACATTTTAATGCGGGAAAATTTCAAAAAATACGCAAAATTTTTGCAAAAAAACCGTGTTTAACAAATAATGTAGTTCTAAAATTTTTTAGCGATTCGGGAGCAAAATATTGAATATCATCGCAAGATGGCCCTTTTAGTTGATGTGCTAAACAAAATTAACTAACAAAATCTTTCAAAAGTTTTCAAAAATTTTTGTTTCAGTAATTTATGTGACACCCAAATTTTGGAGCCTGTTAATTCAACCGTGGAAGGCAAAATGTTACGCAAAATAAACAACCGGGTGATTTCTCGGCGAATAATTCTATTCAAGTATGCCCGCATCATTATTCCGGTCCAATACACAATGACGCGGCGGCGAGACGCGAGAGCAGCCCCCCCTTATGAATAGCGATTTGCATAAAAGTAATACGGAGATGTACTCGTGACAACTTTTTTTCTTCAGAAACATTCTAAAGTAAACGGGGAATTTTTAGAGCAGTTCTTCAATATTTTGCGCCTCGACGTTGCGCTTCGTAGCGGCTAAGCGGCGTGCACGTTGCGTGCCGCGGCGCGGCAAAATCCAGAGAGAAACTGTCAAAATATAATAATCACCACGACATCTGCGGCGTATTATTGATCCGATGCTTGAGAAAACAAGGTAATTTTATGAAACACTGAAGTTTATATACGTGAAATTTTTTTAAATCGCGAGGGATGAATTCTGATACAGCCCGTGAATTAGACCCCGCCGCGTCAAAACTAAAAAAATCTTCCAAAAAATTTTGGGGGATCCAATGTTTCAAAAATATGGCCTACCTCCCTCAGTTTTTATTCAACAATGAATCGGTCTGGGCTACGGAAAAACCTTTATAATTTGCCCGTTGTTTTTTAAATAGGGGCAAAAATTGGGCCATATTATCAACTTTCGAGCAATGGTAAAACGGGTTTGCGCACGGCGGGAGTCGAGCCCGCGACCTATTGTTTTCCGTACAGGTGCTCTTCCGCTAGCTACACGCGTCCCGAATCACCATCGCTCGAGGCCGAGGATGAGGAAAATAATGGATTCACGCCACGGCACTCTGCCGTCCACAGGGCTTTTCCCCTCTCTTGCCAATCCTTTACAATATATCAAAAGTCATTCAGCGATGTTTCATCGTAATCTCTGCACCAAATTGCGTAGTTTTGAATAATCCGCCCGATGGTTCCGTTCCTACCAACGCGAAGGAATAAAAAAAATTTTACAACTTTTTTTAGAAAAGTGAAAAGCTAACTTTTTTTTACAGCTTCCACAAAGTATAATTACGCGCCTTTGGATCATTATATAAGCCAAATGAGTTATATTAGCCACAAAAAAAAAATTTAAAAATTCAATGTTGCCCAAAGCTCCTTCATTTGCTCATTTTGTATTTGGCAATTATTGGCAATCTCTTGTCAACTTTGCATTTTCTATGCAAACCTTGGTCTGTTTTCTAATTCGCCAAAAGTTATTGAATCTTTTCTTTTTGGACGTACGAAAAAGTGAGCTCCCCCGATAATGCCAAAGAACCGGCGTGGTTTCTAAAAAATGTTATATGAATTTTGCTATTTCACCTTTCAGAAATTTTTTGAACACTTAAATTTGTAAGAAATATTTATTTATATTTTATTATTTTCTATTTTCTATTTATTATTATTTTTGAAATATTTAATTCCCGAATTTCTCCATGTCGAAACGTCCCCAGAAACTTCAGCAAACTCCGCAGAAAATTGTTCATTCAAATTGCCAAGGCTACAAAGAGGCGGGGAGAGGCTTTTACGCGACGCTCCTCCTCCCGACACAGCCGCATTACGGCATTATAAATTATGGAAATTTGGTATGCTTCGATGAGTTGCTCCCCTGCGTTTTTCATCGGCCCCCTTTTTGTCGTCTAGAGTAACGGGGCGGAATCCGAATTTTTAGAAACCCTGACATTTTAGAATTACAGTACACCGGCAGGAAATTGGGGGAAATTTAATTAATTCTTTTCTCTAACTTAAAAAGGTAAAATAGTTTACAGTACCCAAATTACTTAAATACAGTAGTTTCCAGGTTAGCTAATAATTTCGGTACCTTAAAAATCGGGCCTCATTCGTTATCGGGGGGGGGGGGAGGTTAACATAATAGTAAGTGTTTTAATGGTATTTTTGGTAAAATTTAAGTATTTCTAGCGGAAAGCTATCTAAAAGTTTTGAAATTTTTTAAAATTTGAGGTTTTTGTCGAAAAATCGATGCTTTATGAAAGATTTAATATAATTCGTCAATTTTTTAAAACAAAAGCCTGAAAAAACAACTATCGAATTTTGCAATTTCTTAGAAAAGCAATGTTTCGACGCCGGAGAAAGCTAACATGCAATAACCAGAGCTAATGGTCCCGGTTTGACATTCGAAATTTTAAATGGTTCTTTGTATTATTGAATTGTAGTGAATGGTTAATATAATTCCGTTCTAATTTTGTGCAGTAAATTTAATTTAATTAATTGAAAATAAATAAATAATTAAATTTTATCTAAAAATTTCATTCAACACAAGCTCTTTAGTTAACCCTAAAAAACCCCAAATAAATTTTAATGGCCTGGAGATCATTTTGAAGTAAATGTTTCAAGTCAAAAAGGATGAATGGCAAAACACTGATCATTAATTGTTGTGACGGTGCAAATTAAAAAATTACAACATAAAAATGAATTAAAAATACATCAAAATGAAAACCGTCAAAAATTGGTTTGGTTAAATTCTACAAATTTAAGTAATGAAACCAATCAAAACACGCAAATTCTGCGGACGCACCTCATTCCGGAGGGGGTACTGTGCGAAGGCGGACAGCAACATCGAGAAGAGCAGGAAAAGGCACAGCACGCCAGTCCGAGAGGCGCCCATCTGGAAGTGGGATTTAAATAACATCGAATAATTTAATTTAATTAGCTTTGGCTGCTGCGATATTGCGCTTCTAGAAATTTACATAATTCCAGAAACATTAAGTTTCTAGTGGAGATATAAAATCGAAAAATACAGCTGGAATTTTTAAACTCAATGGATATTAGCCATATTAATATAATTATAATTATTTAAATATATGAGAGAAGGATGCATCTATTCTGAATTACGTTATCGGAGCAAACAATTTGGGAATAATGCGTACCTAAAAATTTCGACCTCTCACCAATTTTTGAAACATATGCTTGCCAAAAACCGCGAGCGAAAGCCAACTAATTATTATTTATCGATGTAATGTATATATTAAAAAATGCATTGATTTTTATAGAAAATATACAATAAATACATATTCAAATGTAAATAAGGGAAGGTTCGTCCTTATTTTCAATGTGTTTTTCTGCTTCCGGCTACGAGTACCCGGTCCATAGATCCACAAATTATTGATGCCGTGGGCGGGTATTGTTAAAGCTGCCTTCAAAATGCTTCTAGAAAAGATGAGGAACGGGGGCAGCAAAAAAAATTAATCAAATTCCCAACCCACCCGCCCGACCCGATAGCGAAGACAAGGAAGCGAAAAAAAGCGTTAAGAAATGTCAATCCAAACATTGGATAAATTAATCAGGAAGCGATTTCCCAGAATTCTGTCGAATTTTTTTAAATTTTGTGGCTAGTTGAAACATATGACCTAAATATTAAAAAATGGAATATTTGCAAAAATGTTTCAAATTTTATAAACTCCAGATTTTCGTTTCCTATTTATTAAGTAACTATATTTTCAAACACATCGAAAACACATTCTCTTACAAAGCTAAAACTTTAAAATGTCAATCCAAATAATGGATAAATTAAACAGATAGAGAATCATCACGACTGGAGTTCAAATTTTTAGAAAAATGTTGAGCTGCGTTAAAACCTATTTTTTTATCCGGCATTCCAAATTTGTGAATAATGTTGCAAAATTTTATAAAACGCCATATTTTCGTTTCCAAAATTCAAAATTCAAACGTTTCAAAATTCCTATTTATTACGTATGGTGCGGTAGTTTCCGAAAACACCTAAAACATTCTGTTAAGATTTAAATAATAATATCCCAATCAAAAATTCATGATCGTTAAATTGCGCTCAATTTTCTTAATTCAGTTATTAAGTTGAATTGAAACTTATTTTTAAATTACCAGCTAAATTTGAGAAATGTTTCAAATTTTTACAAAATGTTAATTTTTGCTTCGGTTTTGTTAAGTATGGATCCTAGATATCCTATTTTCAAAACTTCAAATTTGAAAAGCCGGGAGGGACATGAAATGCCCATCCAAAACTGGATAACTTAAAGGGCTGCCGACGGCATGTGTCGATCCCCCCTCATCAACAAATTGGCAAGTAGCCAACAGGGGAGAGAGCGCGCCCAAGGGAGAGGCGCAGAGACATTTTTTCCGCGCGTAACCGATTGACTATGCCGTCGGCATCCCTTTAAGCCAATAGAAGATTTTCATCGAATTGAATTAAATTTTTGAAAGTTGTTGATTGGGTTTAATCGAAACCTATTTTTTCTAACGTAACCTTGAATTTGCAAGGAATGTTTCAAAAAATTTTACCAAAATCAGGATTTTTGTCTGAAGTTTGTCATGAAGCTTTATTTCCGAAAACATTTAAAGAACCCTTTTTTCAAAATTTCGATTCGAGATATTTAGTTCTAAGCATTAGAGGGTTATCTTCTGGTTTTGTCAATTCGAAAACCATTTTTCCCAACAATCTCTGCTAGCCTGCCCTCTCCTCTTCCTCAACAATCTCTGCTAGCCTGCCCTCTCCTCTTCCTCAACAATTTCTGCTAGCCTGCCCTCTCCTCTTCCTCAACAATCTCTGCTAGCCTGCCCTCTCCTCTTGCTCAACAATCTCTGCTAGCCTGCCCTCTCCTCTTCCTCAACAATCTCTGCTAGCCTGCCCTCCCCTCTTCCTCAACAATCTCTGCTAATCTGCCCTCTCCTCTTCCTCAACAATCACTGATAGCCTGCCTTTCTTAAATAATCTCTGCAACAGCTACCGTAATCCAATAAAATATCTAACCTTATATTGTTGGGGTAGACGTGTCCGCCTGGGCTCGTCGAGAATGGCCGGCTCCGAAAATTCAGCCTCTCCGATCCGAACCCTCAGGCCACGCCCCCTTGGATGCGAGGGAAGAGAGGAAGAAACAAGGGTTCGTGCTAATGCATAGCTTAAAGACTACCAGAACGATGGAACGCGCACTGTCACCCCGAGGGTGCTACCCCCAAGAACGCGCAGAGCGGGTCGTCATTAGTGGTGTCCCGTATTGGGCAAAGACCCTCTGGGGTTTGGGGCGCCTCTGACTCCCTTCCCCACTTGCCCTGTGGTATAGTGGCTAGCGCGTCGGACTGTGGAGCGAACCATCGCGGGTTCGACCCTCGCCCGGTGCGCAACTTTCTTGCTCTAAACGATATTTCATCGTTCTGACGGTCTTTAAAGGAATAGGTGAAACACATTTTTCCTTTGCTTTTCACGAATTAAAGGGGCGTTGAAGTCTAGAGCCTAGTCTGGTCATTGAGCTTTTCGGGGCTGACTAGGCCTGGGCTCAGGCTTAAGCTTAGGCCTAGGCTTAGGCTTAGGCTTCGGCGTCATTTTTGAACTCCTAATGTGAGCAAACTATCTTTTGCTATTTGCACAGAAAACTTTAGTATTTTGATACATCAAAGTTTTCGAGAGCCTGGTTTTTCGCGTTTCAAATTGTTCTGGTGGTCCTAATATTCGAATATAATCTTCCCTGTGATTTTTAGTAATTTTTACAGTTTCAAGAAGATTACGAAGCAGCCGGAAAATTACGAAATGTTATCCAGTGCCAAACAAAAACAATTTTTCGACCTGGAATGCAATTCTTTCAAAAAATGTGCAGTTTTTGTACTCAGGAGTCCTTGGAAATACCTTTTAAGAAAACAGCGATTAATAGAAAAACCTAGGCTTGGATAAAAACGGTTCTTGAGCTTAAATGTACAAATCTGCCCAAGAGCTCGAACGCCTTAACTCTAGCAAATTTCTAACAAGGGAAGTGCACAACCGGCCCACGAGAAATCGACACGAGACATAGTGGATCTGATAGAATCGGATACGGGGATTCCGAATCTGTAATCAGAATTTGCTAAATAAAACGGAGAAAAAAGTCATGAAGCTTCAAAGTTGGTAAAATCGCCCAAAATCAGACTTTTATGGGCCTGTAAAGGCCCAGGGAATGGAAATTTGCCACAACCCATTAGTGCATCTTGTTCAGCAAAAGAAGCGCTTTCGAATGAGCTATCTTACTTCAAGTTTACGATGATTTCGCGAAAATTTCTTCTATGAACTTGACAGGCCATACCCTTGCCCGCGAATCCAAAAAAACTTTTTTCAGTGAATTGTTTGCAAATGCTACGTATTACAGCTCATTCGAAAGCTCTTTTTCTGCTGAACAAGATGCACTAATTTTTTTCTCCTCAATTCCGTTTCCCCGGTTTTTACGGGCCCTTAAAGGTACCGTTTTTGGCGATTTGGCCAACTTTGATGCTTCATAACTTTTTTCTCCGTTTTATTTAGCAAATTTTGATTACAGATTCGGAATCCCCGTGTCCGATTCTATCAGATCCACTATGTCTCGTGTCGATTTCTCGTGGGCCGGTCGTGCACTTCCTTTGTAAGTTGCATGAACTAAGTTATTATTTTTTCAGCGACCCTCATTTTCAGCGCAACATTATATTTTGCCATAGGCGATCTTGGAGTTTTTTTTAAGAATCGGCTGTTTTACTTATAATTCAACTATAATTATATAATACCAGCGCCCAAAACCCGCTTCGCGGGCCTTGGGCGCTGGAATGCGGCCTTTGCATGAAAAGTTTGACTTTCTGATAGCTCGGGTCCTGCGGACCCCCCCCCCCCGCCCCGACCACACGCGCGAGTGCAACTGGCCAGAATGAGGAAGTTTGTATTTTTTCGCATTATGCAAATTAGCCTTCAGTTACCCTAAAAAAACAATAAAACCGCCTTTAACTTTGTAAACTTGTATTTTATCGAAATTCTGAAAACGCCATCGGAAACAGAATGGTCGATTCCTCCGGGTGACGGAGAATTAGGGCATTTTATGCACGGGAAGGCCCTCAAATCGGGCCTCGAAAGTGACATCCACACACACACACACACACACACATACGCTCCAAAATTATATAAGGTAGGATATAAATAATTATATAACCAGGGTTGAAAAGCCGCTTCGCGACTTTTCAACCCTGGCCCCGTCTGACCTTCACTTTACATAATTGTCCTAAATTGGGATGGCAAAAAAAATGAAAAACGCCCTCTTCGGCCCCTTTATATAGTCGACTGCCCACTTCCGGTCTATGCTAATTATTCCTAACAAAGAAGTTTTCACAAAAAATTAAATTTAATGTCGAAAACAGCTAATTTTGTAAAATCTGATATGTGTGCAGTCATCTCAAGACCGTTGCGCACCTAATGACGTATCACACATACCTTAAAATTCATCCCCCATCGATATATCCTCCGGACAGACAGACGGAAGTGGATGCAAAGTGGCACACACACACACAAACACTATTTTTTATATATAGTAGGATTCGAGGATCATTGAGCTTTTGCTGCTCGGATATTCATGATTACCTGAAACACCTATTGCGAAAACACACCACCTCGGTACCTGCGATTGGCACGGCACGAAACTAACAAGCCTCAATTAAAACTTCCCGTTTCTCGCCTTAACGGTTCTTATTTCGAAACACAATTTTCCTTCCAGGGATCCGAAAAATTTTTCTGCAACGGTATGAAATGTTTTTTCATCATTTTGATACACCGTGGGATCGCACGACTTGTTTAGCATTTTTGGCTGCTTCGGACCCAATTTTTGAAGCTGAATTTGCATTGTAAAAAGCTTAAGTCGGATTTTTCACTTTTTTGCGCGGTTTTTATGAAACATATTGATTTTTGGATCAATTAAACTTTTTAAATTCGTGCCTTTTTCCAAAATTCGCTGTCGTCCACGCAGACTTCCCGTATTACGGATAATCATCCAAATCTCTTTTTTAAAATGACTAGAAACATTTTATCCCACAAAATTTTTGCGACTTTATGGATAACTTTCATTATAGCAGCCGCTACCCATTCCACGACCATTTTTTTCCAACAAACAAATTTTTGGGATGATTTCGGCGCGTTACACTAAAAACTAGGCTGGACTGTTAGAGGGGGATATTTACAAGAAAGCCAATCATTCCCAGTAATACTGTATTTTCCTATTCCTATCTTTTTCCTATAATACAATCCATCCTACTATATATAAAAAAATAGTGTCTGTGTGTGTGTGTATATTTGCATGCAACTTCCGTAAGTATGTACCGCACCTACAGCCTCAAGGGAAGGCTTTTAAGGCACATATGATACGTCATTAGATGCGTAAGGATCCCGAGATGAGTGCACACATATAAGATTTAGGAAAATCGGCTGTTTTCGCTATTAAAAATAAGTTTTTGTAAAGTTTTCCAAAAACCTCTTTGTTAGGAGGCAATTTGCATGCGCCGGAAGTAGGGAGGGCCTTTTTCACTTTTTTTCTTGCTAGAATTTAGGGAGAAGCATGCAAATTGAGGACTTCGCAGGTCCTGGACGGGGCCAGGGTTGAAAAGCCGCGAAGCGGTTTTTCAACCCTGGTTTGTATAATAATTTGCACAGTTTTTGCGATATACAAAGCTTATATAAATTATAAAACTTTTCGAAATAAAACTTCTTGGCCAAAAATTCATACAAAATGACGCAAATTTTGAATTTTTAAAAATTCTAAAACTGTTTTTGTGACTGCCTAGCAAACAAAAACCACGAAAAGAACTATAAAAATACACTATATTTTTTTAGTAGGCGGCATAGGCGGAAAAAAACTTCACCTCTCTCCCCCCCCCGCTAACAGACTAGTACGATTTCTATAGAGTAAAATACACCTTTAAATTGGTTTTCGCATAAGGCCTTCGAAACAAAATTGATTTAAGTAAATTCTCAAACGTTCCCCTTAGCTTTTGAAACTTTAAGTTTTATCCGGATCCACCGCCCAACCGGAAACCGCGGGGGTGCTGTGGATTTTCTTGGGCGGCTGATTGGGGCCATTCTCTGCCCGGCTTCTCCCTTCCTCCCTTCCTTCCGTTTCAAACAACCAACCCAACTTGGAAGCCCTCATCTTCTAAGGCTTGTCATCTTTTCAAAAAATTCTCGAAATCTCAAAAAAGAACTCGGCTCGCTTTCCGAAAATTTGTCGAATTAGAAAGTCGGGGGATGGATTTTCGAATTTTTTGGAAACTTCAGAAAGACTTTGAAGCATTTGCCATTGTATAGGATAAAAAATTCGGGTTTATCAATCATTGCTGAAACATTAAAATCAATCCAAAAAAATTAAGCGCTGTAAAATTAGGTGTTTGGAACCCTGAAATATAGGTCCATAGTTCAATTTATAATTAGCCGAAATTCTAAAACAAAGCCTAGATAAATAAGAGCAATGGAAAAAAAGGAATTATTGGTTCGAAATAAATGTATCTATCAGCCATTGGTGAAACATCTCAAAAAATCGACTCAAAAAATCAAACTTCAAACCCCAAAATGAAATGTTTCTAATTGCGCAGAGCTCAATGTTACCTTTGTAACAACTAATGCGGTATCCTGCTTTTCTGTTCCGAAAAAATTCTCAAAACCTTCGTTGCCTAATCCAATCTATTTTTCGCAGTTTTTGTCTTTTTACCAGGCTGCCTAACTGTCAACCCCTGGAGTTTATTCTGTCACTTCCTAGTTCCTTTAAATGTTGCTAGCTAGAAAATATTTTTTTACTAATATGTGTTTCAAAGTCTCCGGGCTTCAGACCTTCGCGGAATGAGTTACTGTGTGGACATAGCGAGATTACGGAGATTACATACCGTTTAGATTTTCTCTGGCTATCTCGGCGGATCACATGAAATTGATAGAGACGTCCTGGGCTTCGGTTAGGTTTAGGCTTAGGGTTATTGGACTTAGGCCTAGGCTTAGGCTTAGGATAGGCTTAGGCTTAGGCTTAGGCTTTGGCTTAGGCTTAGGTTGATGTTATGCTTCGGCTTCGCTTAGGCTGAGGTTATGCTTCGGCTTAGGGTAGACTTGAGCTTAGGCTTAGGCTTAGGCCTAGGTTTTGGTTTCGGTTATGCTTCGCCTTAGGCTTAGGCAGAGGCTTAGGTCTAGGTTTAGGTTAGGTTTATTAGGCTTAGGCTTTGGCATAGCCCTGCAAAGTCGCGCCGCGTTTTGGCTATTTTAAGCACTCCGCGGATGTTTGCGTCGCCATTCTAAAATGTGTCCTTTCACCGTATCCGCCCAAAAATCCAACGGGGCACAAAGAAAGGCAGAGGGCAGCAGGAGGCAAATTGCCGGGGTTGCGAGTGGAAGGAACGGCAAAAGTTATTGAAATTGGCTGCGTGAAAAGGGCGTTCATCCGAAGCGAGAGGAAAATTGTGGGGAAAATCGGTGTTTCGTCCAGAGTTAGAAGTGCGGGGTCGAACCTTGGGGATGATACCTTGTTTTCAATTCCTTAAAGTTCCGATAAATTTAACTGTTTCAAAAATAATTAAAAATAATTATTTCCCGTGAAGCTTGACGTTCTAAAAATGCTCAGGTCCAATAAGATCTATTTAAATTAACTGTATCGACATTTTCCATAGCAAAATTTTCAAAGGCTAAATATTTTCAAATATCTGTCATCCTCTTAAATAATTATTTTGTGTTTTTAGCCTGTTTAAAGCAACTAGAGAAAACTATTGACATTAGCTCTGCGAAAACGCGTCGACCCGAATCGAAAAGAATTTGGGGAAAATCGGTGTTTCGTCTAGACTGGGAGACTAGAGGAGCTCTGAAAACCTCAATGTTCCCAGGATCAACGTCGCATTATTGTGTTAAGATGATCCAAAACATGTGAAAAGCTTCGTTGTTGTTAATTCAGGTCCACTACACTTTAATTCTAAATTGCAAAATTTTTGATATATTTTGATAGCAATTTTAATTTAACAGCGGGCCAATATTAGGCTCAATCAAAACTTCGACATTTTTAAAGGCCGCAAATGTTGGCATTATCATTATTGATGAGCGCCAAATTTGCTAAATTCGATTTTTTAACTCTGCTATTCAAAATCATTCCATTTCTTAATATTAAAGCACTAGAAATTCAGTCTAAGAATTGAATGTTTTAACAACAATTAAAAATATACAAAAATTTATATCATTTAATTGCTTCCAGCGTCATTCCCATTTCCAAGTTTCTAGAGTGGTTATAAGTTCAGCTATAAAATTCTTTATTTTAATAATTTTAATAATTTCAAAAAACTCAAAACTTTTTTACAGTTTGCTGAGGGAATCTTGCCTGCCGGGACTTTCCTTCTCGGTATTTCGGCGTTTTTCCTCATAATTCATAGATACAACTTTATTAAGTTTATACACGTATCATTCGGGGCGGGGTGGAGCAAATTCGGGGCAGATTTGAGAATTATATTATCAATATTAAGACCATATTAAAATCCTGGAAATCAAATTCATTTTACGACTTTCGATACAGGCAAAACAGCTGGCATTCATCGTAGGTCAGGGTGTAGGGTGGGAGGAATTTATTTTCGCGGCATTCACGGATGGTATATGGCCGGCAGACACCCTCTTCTAGGGCCCATCTAAAATAATATAAGTTAAATTAAAATAACTATCATATGAAAATAATAAACAAGAATAAAATTAGAAATTGAATTAGAAAATCGCTTTTTATCTTAAAAAAAATGTGTTTCGAATTTTTTGACAATCACGAAACTGCCCTTTATAAGTGTGGTACGGTTCTGTCAACAATCTCTGCTAGCCTGCCCTCACCTCTTCCTCAACAATCTCTGCTAGCCTGCCCTCACCTCTTCCTCAACAATCTCTGCTAGCCTGCCCTCTCCTCTTCCTCAACAATCTCTGCTAGCCTGCCCTCTCCTCTTCCTCAACAATCTCTGCTAGCCTGCCCTCTCCTCTTCCTCAACAATCTCTGCTAGCCTGCCCTCTCCTCTTCCTCAACAATCTCTGCTAGCCTGCCCTCTCCTCTTCCTCAACAATCTCTGCTAGCCTGCCCTCTCCTCTTCCTCCACAATCTCTGCTAGCCTGCCCTCTCCTCTTCCTCAACAATCTCTGCTAGCCTGCCCTCTCCTCTTCCTCAACAATCTCTGCTAGCCTGCCCTCTCCTCTTCCTCAACAATCTCTGCTAGCCTGCCCTCTCCTCTTCCTCAACAATCTCTGCTAGCCTGCCCTCTCCTCTTCCTCAACAATCTCTGCTAGCCTGCCCTCTCCTCTTCCTCAACAATCTCTGCTAGCCTGCCCTCTCCTCTTCCTCAACAATCTCTGCTAGCCTGCCCTCTCCTCTTCCTCAACAATCTCTGCTAGCCTGCCCTCTCCTCTTCCTCCACAATCTCTGCTAGCCTGCCCTCTCCTCTTCCTCAACAATCTCTGCTAGCCTGCCCTCTCCTCTTCCTCAACAATCTCTGCTAGCCTGCCCTCTCCTCTTCCTCAACAATCTCTGCTAGCCTGCCCTCTCCTCTTCCTCAACAATCTCTGCTAGCCTGCCCTCTCCTCTTCCTCAACAATCTCTGCTAGCCTGCCCTCTCCTCTTCCTCAACAATCTCTGCTAGCCTGCCCTCTCCTCTTCCTCAACAATCTCTGCTAGCCTGCCCTCTCCTCTTCCTCAAGAACCTCTGCTGGCCTGCCTACCGTATCGCCTGCTCCGGCTCCTCTTGAGTGACCTCACAAAATTGAGCATCAGGAAGCCGTTGGCAGCTGTAGGTTGGGCCGCCTGAAATTTAAGTAATTCAATTGATATTTAATTTACTGAATTAAATAATTTAGATAATCCAATCATATGGCGAGGCGAGCTTATAAGTTTGTAAAATAGATGTTTCACCTCCACAATCTGCTATCGCTTCGTTTGGACCAGTAAAGGTGTCAACCATCGGCAGCCCAAAATCATCCACGCACCAGCAGGAGCCTTTTTGAGAACATCTGAAGTTAATTAAAAATGTTTTTAATTTTTTATACCGATATAGTATCCCTCTAGGCTTAATGTGTGAAGCTCAAAAACATTATAATGACTTTTTAAAGGTGCCGGCAGGTCTTCTAATTATTATTAAAATAACTTTTTTTTGCAATGCTTTGTATAAATTTCTAAAAAATTTAATCTGCACGAAAGATTCCTGGCCACTGCTTTTTGCTTTTTCGTGTGAAACTCCTGATAAAATGAAACATTTTTCGGAATCGAAAAAAAGGAAAAATAGGGCATTTATTTTAGCTTATAAAACTTAAGCCCTTTTTAGGATTCAACTTTACAAATATGAATAGCGCCAGTGTTTCTAAGCTGTCTTTTACTATTCCGAAACGCATAAACTTTACAAATATTTCTTAAAAAATGCAAAAAACCTGGATGATTGTGATAAAATTTCGTCGTTTTTGTAAATATTTAAGTGTTTACCAGGGTTGAAAAGCCGCTTCGCGACTTTTCAACCCTGGCCTCTCTGCGGGGCCCTTTGATACACGGAGACTGCATATTATAATTTGCATTAATATTACGAATCCCGTTAGGGAAAGGCACTACAGGAATTACTTGAGCAACCGACTCGGAACCCCGCAACGCCCAGAATGAGCCGAATTAATAGCCGAATGCAAATTAGTCTATTTCCATATGTTTTTAAATCGCTAAATCAAGGTATAAAACGTCATTTTTGTAAAAATCTTATATGCGCGCAGTAATCTACGCCCTCGATTACCCCTGAACATTTCATTTCTGAACCATAAAATCCTCTGCCCTTCGAGTTATGGCTGGAACCCGGGTTTTTATGCAAAGTGTCCACACACACACAGGAACTATTTTTTTATATATAGTAGGACGTGGTTTTTCTAGCTCAAATTAAGTTTATTTACTAAAAACAATGTTAAGATACTTCATATGAAGTTACTAGACCTTGCAAAAAAGTTCGCCCCCCCACGATAATGCGAAAGAACCGGAGCTTTTAAGCTAGTGACTATTCCAAAATTTCTGCGCCCGAAGCACATGTCAATTCCATTAAATAAACTAGTTTAACCTTCAGCGAAAGTGGGAAAAACATGAAACGCTTTTTTTGGATTTTGGTAAAAAGAATGTTACGGACGTAACCTACCTTGCAGCATCATAGATTTCATTTAAAGGTGCTGAGACACTTACTGTGTAGCCCTATACGCGCCGTCGGGACGACAGGATGGCAAATAGTCGAGGTAAGCCCGATCAAGGGTTGCGTGAAATTCGCTGAGGATTACTTCACGCAGAGACTGGCATGGGACTGAAAGTTTGTTTATCTCCCTCTCTCGCTCTCGCTCTCTCTCTCTCTCTCTCTTCTCTCTCTCTCTCTTCTCTTTCTCTTTCACACACCTGTCACCGGAACCACCGGATCCCGGCTACGCAAGGCTGTACAGTCCACGAGTTGGGAGAGCTGAAAATGGAAAAACTTTCATATAAAAATTAGTTTCGTAAAAAATGCTATTTGAGCGCCAAAATTTTATCTATAATATATCGTTAATCGTTAACAACGGAGACTTTCAGTTTTGATTCTACTAAGCGCTAAAAACTTGCATCGTTAATAAGTGTATTCAGCTGGGCGTTTTGAGCGGAATCGCAGAGTACGGTAGCGGCACGCTGGACGCAATCTTTTAGCTGGCTGACGAGTGGGCAGAGCGGCTGAAAGGGCAGTCAGGCTAGCAGAGATTGTTGAGGAAGAGGAGAGGGCAGGCTAGCAGAGATTGTTGAGGAAGAGGAGAGGGCAGGCTAGCAGAGATTGTTGAGGAAGAGGAGAGGGGCAGGCTAGCAGAGATTGTTGAGGAAGAGGAGAGGGCAGGATAGCAGAGATTGTTGAGGAAGAGGAGAGGGCAGGATAGCAGAGATTGTTGAGGAAGAGGAGAGGGCAGGTAGCAGAGATTGTTGAGGAAGAGGAGAGGGCAGGCTAGCAGAGATTGTTGAGGAAGAGGAGAGGGCAGGCTAGCAGAGATTGTTGAGGAAGAGGAGAGGGCAGGCTAGCAGAGATTGTTGAGGAAGAGGAGAGGGCAGGCTAGCAGAGATTGTTGAGGAAGAGGAGAGGGCAGGCTGGCAGAGATTGTTGAGGAAGAGGAGAGGGCAGGCTAGCAGAGATTGTTGAGGAAGAGGAGAGGGCAGGATAGCAGAGATTGTTGAGGAAGAGGAGAGGGCAGGATAGCAGAGATTGTTGAGGAAGAGGAGAGGGCAGGCTAGCAGAGATTGTTGAGGAAGAGGAGAGGGCAGGCTAGCAGAGATTGTTGAGGAAGAGGAGAGGGCAGGCTAGCAGAGATTGTTGAGGAAGAGGAGAGGGCAGGATAGCAGAGATTGTTGAGGAAGAGGAGAGGGCAGGATAGCAGAGATTGTTGAGGAAGAGGAGAGGGCAGGTAGCAGAGATTGTTGAGGAAGAGGAGAGGGCAGGCTAGCAGAGATTGTTGAGGAAGAGGAGAGGGCAGGCTAGCAGAGATTGTTGAGGAAGAGGAGAGGGCAGGCTAGCAGAGATTGTTGAGGAAGAGGAGAGGGCAGGCTAGCAGAGATTGTTGAGGAAGAGGAGAGGGCAGGCTGGCAGAGATTGTTGAGGAAGAGGAGAGGGCAGGCTAGCAGAGATTGTTGAGGAAGAGGAGAGGGCAGGCTAGCAGAGATTGTTGAGGAAGAGGAGAGGGCAGGATAGCAGAGATTGTTGAGGAAGAGGAGAGGGCAGGCTAGCAGAGATTGTTGAGGAAGAGGAGAGGGCAGGCTAGCAGAGATTGTTGAGGAAGAGGAGAGGGCAGGCTAGCAGAGATTGTTGAGGAAGAGGAGAGGGGCAGGCTAGCAGAGATTGTTGAGGAAGAGGAGAGGGCAGGCTAGCAGAGATTGTTGAGGAAGAGGAGAGGGCAGGATAGCAGAGATTGTTGAGGAAGAGGAGAGGGCAGGCTAGCAGAGATTGTTGAGGAAGAGGAGAGGGCAGGATAGCAGAGATTGTTGAGGAAGAGGAGAGGGCAGGATAGCAGAGATTGTTGAGGAAGAGGAGAGGGCAGGCTAGCAGAGATTGTTGAGGAAGAGGAGAGGGCAGGCTAGCAGAGATTGTTGAGGAAGAGGAGAGGGCAGGCTAGCAGAGATTGTTGAGGAAGAGGAGAGGGCAGGCTAGCAGAGATTGTTGAGGAAGAGGAGAGGGCAGGCTAGCAGAGATTGTTGAGGAAGAGGAGAGGGCAGGCTAGCAGAGATTGTTGAGGAAGAGGAGAGGGCAGGCTGGCAGAGATTGTTGAGGAAGAGGAGAGGGCAGGCTAGCAGAGATTGTTGAGGAAGAGGAGAGGGCAGGCTAGCAGAGATTGTTGAGGAAGAGGAGAGGGCAGGATAGCAGAGATTGTTGAGGAAGAGGAGAGGGCAGGCTAGCAGAGATTGTTGAGGAAGAGGAGAGGGCAGGATAGCAGAGATTGTTGAGGAAGAGGAGAGGGCAGGCTAGCAGAGATTGTTGAGGAAGAGGAGAGGGCAGGCTAGCAGAGATTGTTGAGGAAGAGGAGAGGGCAGGCTAGCAGGGATTGTTGAGGCAGGAAATCTCTACATTCTTCTCCGAATTCCGCTCGACTTTGCTGACGATACACGAATTGACAAGCTGCGATTGGGTGACGCGCAAAATACACTCTCGATTGCTGGCCCACAGTAGCGTTCCTGTGCCCTGAAAATGGTACTTTTAGGGAGGATTTTTTACACATTTCACTGGAAATTAAATACATACCAGGGTTGAAAAGCCGCTTCGCGACTTTTCAACCCTGGCCCCGTCTAACCCGCAATATTCTTCACTCTGCATACGTCTCCCGAACCCCGATAAGAAAAATGAAAAATGACACTCTCTACCTGATTATATAGGCTACCCCCCACTTCAGGTACATGCTAATTGTTTACTAAAAAAGAGGATGCTCGAAATTTTTACAAAAACTGAGATTTTATGTTGAAAACAATTAATTTTGTAAAATCTGAGAAGCGTGCAGTCATCCCAGAGCCAATACGCACCTAATGACGTATTATACATACCTTAACAGCCTTCCCCTATCGAGATATTCTCCGGACATGGTGACGGAAGTTGCATGCTAAGTGGCACACACACACACACAGACACTACTTTTTTATATATAGTAGGATTGAATACAGATTTTATTGCCAAAATCCAGTTAAAAAATATGTTTCGTTATTTTGGATCAACCAAGCCGGAAAATTCAGTGAATTCGACAGCTGTTGCATTTGTGTTTTTAGCACACACCAGGGTTGTAAAGCCGCTTCGCGACTTTCGCTCGTTTTTACTTTACATTACGAACATTCGTTTTTCAGCCTTACCGAGCACGTGAAGTTATTCAACGCCTTGACGGTGGGGTGCAGATAGTCGGTGGAGAGGGCGCTAAATGCTATGTAAGACCAGAGAAAGAGAGAGAAAGAGAGAGAAAGAGAGAGAGAGAGAGAGAGATAGATAGATAGAGAGAGAGATAGACAAAAAATTGAGAGCGCGAGCGATATATTTAACCTACCGCAAACAGTCCGGATTCGTAGTGGCGTGCTCTTCGGCACATTGTAGGTATCGCTGCGCGTTTGCGCAAAATTGGTCGTGTTGGCCGGGCTATAAAAAAGCAGAAAAAGCATGTTTCACTACTATTTGAAAACAATCATTACAATTGCTCGGAAAATTTTGTAAATTTTTGTAGACCAACAATTTAATAGATTTTTTGTTTTTCACTTCAGGCAAAAAATACATATTAGCACAAAAATACATATAAATGCAGACAAGCGGCTTATCTATACCTTCCTTGAGTTATTTTAATTTGGTCCATTTGCTTGTAATTTATTTAAATTTTTTGAGGCTTGGTTTGAGTTCTTTTTAATTTTTGTTGAGCCTGATACAATTCGGAAAGCTAAGCTCGAAAGAAAAACTCAAAAAATAATAGTTACTAAAAAAATTCAAATCCCCCATACCTGCCGTCCTCCAAACATCGAGCTCATATCCATCGGCATCATATGTTTCATCGTATCGTCAAGGATCGTCTCGGAGCATCTGTAACATTATTCCCCTTCTTGCTTCTTGCCTTGATACTTGTAATTTTATTTACTAGTAAATTTCGTGTTAATAATTCAATTTAGTTTAGTTTAGTTTTTTCCATTAATAAATTCCATTTTCCATTAAAAAAAGAAAATACAATAATAATTCTTCAATCCTACCGTAATATTTGGACGCGAACGGTGGCCGGGCAGCCTGGCCCCTCCCCAATCGGCCCAATCCGCAGCATACGCGCGATGTTTTCCGGGATGATACGCTCGGCGCGGAGCTCCTCTTCAGTTATGGTAGCTACCGTAGCATCTGACTGAAAATAAATGTTTCTAACCTCTTTAGGAAGCTTTAAATTAAATGTTGTCCAATTATTCGCCAAAAGTAACGGTTTTCATTCGTTAGTTTTGACTAACGTAGTTTCTTGCTAAAAATGATTTTTTTAATGTTTATGCTTCCAAAATTTAGCAATTTTAACAATCTACATTTGTCATTTTAAACAATTTGCATTTTGTTTGTTTTTCACCACCGCAACTTTTGGCGAAAAAATATATGTTTTGAAAATGAAAACAACTCAAAAAATTGGTTCTGGCTCAATGCCACCTGCAGAACGACTAGTTATATTTATTCGATGATCACCTACCGTACCCCAATCTTACAAAAAATTCTTTTTTGTGATTTGAAGACCGAAAGATTTAAATTGATCCAAAAAATAGAATTTTAGCTAACTCAGCCAAAAAAATAGACAAAATTATGTGTCAATTTAAAGCCCAAGCTAGCAATTTTCAAGATTTAATCCACTGTAGTCAAAAGCCGTTAGAAAAATTATATTTCAAATTCATAAAGACATTTAGAAATTTCCAAGGTCTTCATCGACCTTAGTAATAATCTTAAAAAATTTGAATTTTTCATTTTCACTGTTTAGTATTTTAATGCTACCGTACCCCGGCGTCATCGGCAGGTTGAAAGACGAAATTCCCTGACGTTGAGGGCCCCGCGAGGAATTGCTGCATCGGCTCCGACAGCTCCAAATCCGGGGTTACGGTGGGTGTGGGGAGGGTTGAAGCGGCTGGGCGGAGGCCATCATCTCCAGCAGAGTCACCCAGCATTCCCAGTCCCTTTAAAATGCATATTTTCATATATTTTTAAATCATATTTAATCGGTGGTTTTCTTGATATTAGATGATTCATAATTCCGTTCTGTTATGTTTTGTTCTTTTAGTAATTCTAACAGTTGCCCCCAACCGCTAAGAAACCAGATCGGCAAAATTCCCTAATCGACCTAGATGTTTCATTTTTTCTATAGTTTTCTCGAAAAATGCGCAAAGCAATTCCATCTGCGCATAATCTTAAAAAGATAAAAATTTAAAGAAAGCCTAAAATTGTTTAAAAATTTATTTCTTAAAAAATAAAATCATTTAACGTGCAACCTTTAAAAGCGGCCGGGCTCGCTCTAATTTAATTTTTTAGAACCATGAAAAAATTGGAATAAAAATTATGCCCTATAAGGCATTAAATTAAATTAATTAACTATTTTACTAATACTAAAACAACACAAATATGCCCCTTCACCGGTGAGGAACCGGAGCCGCAAAATTACCTAATCGACCTAGATGTTTCATTTTTTCACGAGTTTTCTCGAAAAACGTACAAGGCAATACGCGTAGAATTGTAATCTCAAAAAGTCAAATAAAATCTAAATTAGATTAATTAAAAATTTATTTTATTAAAACATCAAAAAATTCAACTTGCCAGCACCTTTAAAAGCCTCCTGGCCAACCGTTGAATGGCCGCCTCATCCGATTTATTCTCAATTGGCACGATGCCCGGGCGTCGGGTGGGGAGCACGAGCTTTGGCGTGAAAATTGGCCACAAATAAAAGGGAGTGCTGGACGGGGGCGGGGCTACAGTACTCCACATCGCCGCGGGACCCCCAGTTGGGGGTACGGTAAATGGGAAAATTCCGGAAGAAATTTCGACAGCTGGGGTTGCCGCAGAAAAAATTGCTGATATTTCTGGCCTCACTGGAGGCACCGTAGTCGTGATCGTGGCGGGACCCGGGGGCTGAGTTTCGGTATTTTCGAATATTTCGTGATTTTCTTGAATTTCGGAGGGTACTGTAGCTGCGGTCTCAGGGGTTACGGTAGTTTTTGAGCTCTTGAATTCTTGATTTTTTGGATTTTCGACCGTATCCAAAACTGCAGGGATTACGGTAGTTTTTGGGCCGTCGAATTCTTGATTCTTTGGATTTTCTGCAGCATTCAAAACCACAGGGATAACGGTATTTTTGTTGGCTCCAAGATCCGCATCTTTTGCATTTTCTACCGTAGTCGGTGACGCAGGGATTACGGTAGTCTTCCGAGCGTAAAATCCACTTTTTTCGCCTCCTACCGTACCCTCCGATTCGCCGTAATCCGGATACTTTTGGTGCTTCAAAAATTCGGACCCATTTTCCGGGATCACCCCCGATAAATCGACCGTACTTTGTATGGTAGCGGATTCCTCTGGCGCATGGGGTACTGTAGTGGACTCGATTACGGTGGGGGCCGAGTCGTGAAAATCTATTTTTCCGACGCGCTCCGTCTCGCGGGATACGGTACCCCGCGGCGGACCAAATAGCCAGTTATCAATTTTGGGGCCGAAATCTACCGTACCCCCCCGGCCGTCCACAGTACCCTCATGTAGGCCTACGGTAGGCCAGGGGTAGTGCTTCGGAATTTCGAAATTATGGCCTTTTTCTGGGGTATTCCAGGCGTATCGTTCCGGAATTTCGGCTTGGTGATTCAAGAATTCCGATGTTTTACCCTTTTCTAGCGTATTCCAAGGGTATTGCTTCGGAACTTGGAAACTATCGCCTTTTTCTACCGTACCCAAAAATCCTTGCTTGGGTACCGTAATCCGGGAGTAGCGTTCCGGAATACCGGCTTCATTGTCTTCAAAATCAGCTTTTTTGCCTTTTTCTACCGAACCCCAGGCGTAGCGTTCCGGAATTCCGGCTTCATGTTCGCCAAAATCCACCTTTTTGCCCTTTTCTACAGTACCCAAAAATCCTCGCTGGGGTACGGTAGCTTCCGTGGCCCACGTTAAACTGCCCGGGTAGCGTTGCGGAATCCCCGCTTCATGGTCTTCAACTCCCAATCTATCGCCTTTTTCTACCGTACCCCAGGGTGGGTTACTGTAATACCGTAACCCTTCCTCGCGGGGCACTGTATTTCCGCTTCCCCACCGCCAATTCGGGCCCTCCACGTCCCGCAACGCCTTTTTTAGCCATTCCGGCTGGGATACGGTAGCTATCGTAGGGTCCCACCACGGCCGGGTTACGGTAGGCTTCGTCGTGCCGAAACTCATCAATAGTTCGTTATTTTTCGGGGCCAAATCAGGGAATATGGTGGGCTTATAGCCGAGGTCTCCACCGTACTCCTTAGCGTCATCTGGTGTAGCGTGTAGGCGCTCGGAATTAGGTGTAGCTTGTAACCGCTCGGAATTTGCTGTAGCGTGTAGCCGCGTGTCAATTGGTGTAGGTTGTAGCCTTTCGGAATTAGGTGTAACTTGTAGCGGCCCGTCATTTGGTGTAGCTCGTAGTGAACTGTCATCTGGTGTAGGTTGTAGCCGCTCGGAATTAGGTGTCACTTGTAGCGGCCCGTCATCCGGTGTAACTTGTAGCGCACCGTCATTTGGTGCACTTCGTAGCCCTTCGGAATTTTGGTCTTCTTCCCTCCCGTCATTAGGTGTAGCGGGCAGCGGCCGGGAATTTATTCGAATTTCCGGGAATTCGATGGGCAATATTCTCTCCGGATTCAAATTAGATTTTTCCGGGGTAAAATCCAATTTTTCCGTGTTTAATTTAAATTTTTCCTGATTTAAATTAGCTTTTTCTTCATTTTCCGGGGGAATTATCCCCAAATCCTGCCCAATCGAAAATGTCGATGTTCCAGAAAAATTCGGAATCGCCTTAATCGATTTATCGCCGAACTTCTTCGAATTTTTGGTGTCGATAAAAATCTTGGCGTTTTCGCTTTTCCGGTTGGCGCCCTCGAAATACATCCACGGCTCGACATTTGTCGTTTTTAGCTGCTGCTCGCTACCGTAGTACCCGGCGAATTGATTTTTTTGGGTTTTTGTGAAATTTTGGATTAGAATCCGGTTGATGAAGCGATTTTCGGGTTTTGGAGCGTCGTGGAATTTGGTGTTTGGGGGTACGGTAGCTTCGGGATTTTCCGCTCCATGCCTCCTTCCAGTTACCGTATCCAATTTCTCGGGGATTAGGGTAACTTCGGAATTTTGTTCCGTTTCTTTCCAATTTACGTCGCTGTTTACGGTAGCTACCGTATCTAATTTCTCCGGGATTACGGTAACGACCTCGCCCCCTACAGTACGCTCTCCAATCTTGCGTAGCATTGCGGAATCGACAATTTTCCGTGCCGTACCATCGGTGTCGATAGGAAACTCCGGAACGAGCTCGAGCTCCCCAACGGCTTGCGGGCGAACTACGGTACCCGTTCGCGAGGTTACGGTAGCCAGAGCTTGAGCATTTTTTATGGAACTTTCCAGAGTTTTATTCTCGAAATTCATTGAATTTCCAAGGCGAGTTACGGTAGCTCCAGAATTATTATTATTCCGATTTTCTGGGTTTTCCGGAAATTTTGAAAATGGGAGAATTCTTTCGGAAAAATTTGTTTCTTTATTTTCTTGAGTTGGAGCAAGATTTTTTCTAGTAATTCCTTTACTTTCGGTGGTCTCCAAATTTTCTAGGCCGGTTACGGTAGGTTCGGAATTATTATTAGTCCGGTTATCTGGGGTTTCCGGAAATTTGGAAAATTGGAGAATTTTTTGCGAAAATTCGGTTTCATTCATTTCTTGCGTCGTCTTCGAATTTTCCGCTTCAATTCGTGGCTCCAACCCGTGACTTAAAATGTCATTTTTTCCGGTTTTCCCGTCACTTTCCGGCGTGGCTTCTGTCTCCTGGTGCATACGAATTACGGCCGAGGTTACGGTAGCTAGCCCCACCCCGTTTGCCAGTCCCAATTCCGGTCCGGAATCCGACAATGTCTCGTTCTCCATCCCGTTCTCCAGAATCTCCTCCTCCAATTTGTTCGCCACCCCGGCCACCGTAGTTACCACGCCCATCTCGCGGGATTTTGGACGCGGGCCCTGAAAAAGTCATAATAAAATTTCAGTTTTCCATTTTTCGATTTATCGACCATGAAAAAATCTCATAATAAAAACATCAAATTTTCCAAATTTTCTGGTTTTCGGTTTTATATAATTTATTGCTGTATATAGTGAACTTCCGTGTTTCTGGAATGTCGATGTTTCAAAAACCCGACAGCTAGAAAATTTGCAAAGAGCAAATCAAAAATTATATGATTCAAAAAAAGGCGTTTTACATAGCGCACGAATAAAATTTGTTAGCATTGCAAGTAATCGTGCGGTAATCGATTTTAAAATAGTTTTTAATCGAAAATTAGTGAATTCAATTCCATAATAAGTAATTAGCAACTGTGAATTTGGGTTTTCGAGTGCCGACAACTAAAAAATGTCTAAAAAACGAATCGCAAATTAAATGTTTCAAAACAATGTGTTTGACATAAAGAAGGTCTGAAATTTGATACGTTTGGAGCTAATGGTCGGATCCGACAATTTCATCTTTTAATAGCTTACAATCAAACATTCATTTATTTTCTTCTATATATTAAATTGCGAAAATGTAAATGTCGGTGTTTTAAAATCCCGACAGCCAGTAAAATTCCAAAAACTAATCAAAACGAAAAATCTTTAAAAAATGTGTTTTACATAAAGCAGGCATGGTATTTTATGGTTTCGCCACAATAGTCGCTCGTAACATCCTGAAGTGCAAATGTCGATGTTCCCAAAATACCGACAACCCGAAGTGTTTTCAGAAAATATGTTTCCGAAATGTCGTGAAACGAACTGTGTAATTTAGCAAGATTCAGATGACCAGGACCAAGGAGCTAAACAAATCCTTCCAAAATTCCAATTTAATTTCTATCTCTAGCCTCTTGCATCATGCAATAGTCGGTGGTTTAAAATGCCGACAACTAGAGGGGGGAATCTAAATTGTTTCATAGGTCCAATAATTCCTAGTAACGCAATACTAAGTATTTTCATAAAAAATAAAGTTGGTTTTCCGCGACTCCCCCCCCCCCGATAATGCCAAAGAAACCAATTTAAAAAATTAAAAATTAGATACTTCTAGGGAGCCAGGAAACCAAAAAATCAAAATTTACAAGGTTATTTATAGCAAATTATTTTTAGTGGTTATTTGAGTAGTAACACGGAAAACTTAAGTCACTTACCCCCTCAAATACCGTAATATCCGGAAACTGGGCATAATCATCGAGCAGAATCGCTTCCCGTATCGGTATATTCGACATGGCCGTGCCGGAAAGTTGCAACAATTCTCGAGTCACTTCCGGTATCCTTCCCGAATTTTCCAACAAATCTTCCAGAGCCAAATTGGCCATATTACCCGATTCGCCCTGATCGGTCACTTCCAGCATTGGCTCCTCGGAAATGGCCTCGTTTTCTTGGGTAGCGGCTAGTACCTAAATCGAATTGGCGCTTCGGTTTGGCTTTGGCTTAGGCTTATTAGCTTAGACTTAGCTTAGGCCTAGGCGTGGCTTAGGCTTGGCTGAGGCTTAGCTTAGGCTTAGGCTTAGGCTTAGCTTAGGCTTAGGCTTAGGCTTAGCTTAGGCTTAGGCTTAGGCTTAGCTTAGGCTTAGCTTAGGCTTAACTTGAGCTCAGGCTTAGCTTAGGCTTAGGCTTAGGCTTAGGCTTAGCTTAGACTTAGCTTACGCCTAGGCGCGGCTTAGGCTTGGTTTAAGCCTGGCTTAGACTTGGCTTAGGCTTGGCTTAGGCTTAGGCTTAGGCTTCAGCTTAGGCTTAGGCTTAGGCTTAGGCTTAGGCGTGGGTTAGGCTTGGGCTTGGCCAAAGCTTATATTAGGCTTCGTTTAGGCTTGACATAGACTTGTTAGAGATATTAGCAAAACCCCCGGCTCATCTACCTCGTAAAAACGTGAAACAACTTTCAATTTTCTCAATCAACAATTTTTTAAACTTTTTTAATACCTTAAAAACTCGCCTCGATCATGGCGGCCTCCGGCAGTCGATTCGCAGCCGCGGCCTCGTATCTCTTATTGATTTCCGCGTATTTGGCCGAGTTCCACACCGTTGTTCGGAGCGTCGTGGAGCTGCTGGGAGGGATCTGAAAAAAAATGACTGAAATTTAAAAATATGTTGCGGCTAGTGGCATTTCGAAAAAGCGCGAATTTCTAGCAATATGTAGTACAAAGGTTCTTCATTTATTGATCAGCAATCATTGATTGACTTACCGTAATCCAATTATTAAAAACCATCCAAATCCTCAAAAAAATATATATTTTTGCTAGAATCTATTCTAAAAAGCATAAACTTCTATCAAGTAATGTAACAAACAAATGTTAAAAGCCCATCTAAGAAAAAAAATGTTTCGAGTAGTGATGTTCCGAAAAAGCACCAATCACTGGCAATTTGTAGTACAAATGGTTATGTGCATTTTACACGATAATTAGGGTCTGTTTTGACCTACTTACGATAGTTCAATTACGTTTAAAAATCCAAATTGTAAAAAAGTGTTTCGACTAGAAGTAATTCTACGAAACAAAAATTCCTATCAATAGTCATAACACAATCTCCATCTCCTCATGTATATCTCCATCAAATTTATTAAATTTGCTTTTTCGTTAATTACCGTAGTTCTGGTCCTGGGGCTGAACACTGATGCAGCGGCGGGCGGAACCGCTGTGATTGCTAAAAAATTCTGGATTTTTAACAATTTTTCAAACATTGAATGTTAAAATCAGAAATTTTTTCAACTAAATTTTGTAAAAATTCGTCTTAACAGCGTGATATGCTAGGGTTGGTAATTAATCAACATCTAAAAATCTAGAAAAATTCAAAAAAATTTATTTATAAAAAACATGAGGGCAATCGCGCCCAATTACTATTAAACCTCATAAATAAATTTGTATAATGAGATTTATCAAACCTAAAAAGCTCATCCGGTATTTCAAAAAAATTAATATGTTGCTGAAAAAAACACAGCTTTGCATTTTTTCGGATACCCTAATAGTTAGCCATTTTTCAAACTAAAAATAGATAGTTCTACAATTAAAAACTTGATATTAAGAAATTACGAAATTTGGTCGGCGCCGCATCCTCGCAATCGACGAAACATTCTGCAAGACTGCCGAAAAATCGCCGATCGCACCCCCAGAAGCGTTGGCATTTCCCGGAGGTCACGTTGAAAAAGTAGAGCTTTTCTAAACATTTAACATTAATTTATCCGCTTTTCAAATCAATTCAATCAAAATTAAACTGATGTAAACGAAAAAGCAGCGCTTTTCCAACATTTAAAATGAATTAATCAGCCTTTTAAATCTATTAAATAAACATTAAAGTGATGTAAACGAACAAGTAGACATTTAAAATTACTTTACCCGCTTTTTAAATAAATTAAATAGCAATTAAAATTATTTAAAGGAAAAAGTAGGGCTTTTCCAAAATTCAAACTTAATTCGTAGATTAAAAAAATAAGAAATAAATTTTAAATTAGAATGGGGCAAAATTTAAGGTTTTCCAAGATTTATATTGACTTCCCGGTCCCTTTAAAACTGACCTATACTCTCGCAGGTGAAAAGTTGACGTTCGCTCGGCTGCTCGATGCACGTGAAATCGGCTTAAAAATTTCCAAAAATTTTAAAAAATCCTTTTTTAACAAATAACAAATTCAAATTTTTTCAAAAATTGAAAAATTAAATGTTCAATCAAAAAAATTTTGGTTAAATAATTACAACTTCATAAGACTGACCCAAAACCCAGCCGCCGAGCCTCATCTGAAACAGTAGCAAGATATAGAACGGGGACGGCATCGCATACTGTAGTCGGCGTCTCGTTTTTTGGCTGGACTAAAAATGTGTTTTGAAGCAACTAAAACAACTAAATTAAGTATTTAATCTAAAAGAATTATAATAACTGTTTCGTGTCAAAATCAAATTCGAAAAATTTTTACAAGGCCAATCCGTAAAAAAATCTCGGTTTGAAAATGATGTAACAAGAAAAAGATAGGACCTGGGTAATAAGCGAGGATTTAATGCCACTCCCTCATATAGCCAATACCTCCAAAAAGTTTGCACAGAGCTGGATCGTGAATTTCCCCAAATTATTTCACGCGGACCACACAGATTTTCGAAACATCTTTTCCGAATTCTTTCGCATACTACAATTTCGAAGCTCCCAATTTCGGATTTTCGAAAATTTAATTTTAATATAAATATTATTTTATTATTTTCAATAGAATAGAAAATTTCGAAAGCGATCCGAATTTTCGAAAAGGCTTCAAAATGGCAAATGATGATGCCAGGTAGCTTCGGAACTTTTCGGAACAGCTTCAAAAATGCAAGAAAAATATTGATGCCTGGTAGACGGATTCGAGCCGTCAAAAGCGAAAACGCCAGGATCCCGACAAGCTAAAATCCCGACTGCCAAACCGACAGCAAAAATCCCTAAAGCTAAAATACCGACAGGGCAGAACCTAAAACCAAAATCCATAAAGCCATAATCCCGATCAGAGAAAATGCCGACAGTCAAGAGTCCGAAAATCCCGACAGCGAAAATCCCTAAGCACAAAATCCCCCCGCAAGCTAAATAGCTGTTTAACCAGAAGTGGTTGTAAAGAATCTGTCGTTATTTTGCCTAGGAGTGTCGGCATTTTTTCCTGTCGGGATTTTGGTCTGTCTGTATTATGGTTGTCGGGATTATCGCTGTCGGGGTCACGGCGGTCGGTATTTGGTCTTTCGGGGTTATGGCCGTCGCTATTTTCGTTCTCGAAGTTTTGGTTATCGGGATTATCGCTGTCGGGATTTTAGCCGTCGGTATTCTAAGTGTCGGGATTGTGCTTGAAATTCCCAAAGAAAAACCCGTTGAAAAGTGAAGAAGAGGAAGCTATCCGACACCAAAATCCCTGAGCGAATTCACGGCCGCTATCGCTAAAAAGTGAAAAATGAAACCCGGCCGTTTCCAAAGGCGCACCCAAATTGTCGGGTCCCCCCTTCCGTTTTCGGGTAAAACGAGGGTAAAAGCGCCCGCGCGGGCAAACAAATAATAGAGCGTTCCGTGTACAGTTGTGTAGTGCATGGACGTGTGCCCTTGAGGGCCCCCCATCCACCCCCTTTCGGTTTTGAATGGGCACGCAAAAGTGTCGCCGGCCAAGATATCGGGAGTAACGGTCTGCGCGCGGGCGCGGGGCGCAAATTTCCACGCGCGAGCGCAGGGTCATCGACCCCCCGATTGAATGGAGGTGTGAGACAAATAAATGTAAAGGAAAGATGGGCTTAGGTTAGGCTTAGGCTTAGGCTTAGGCTTAGGTTTGGGCTTTTAGGCTTAGGCTTACAAGGAGTCGTTTTTAGGTGATATTGGAGTTTATGAACGAGACCTAGCTAGTTCGATAGAGAAAAAAATTCTGAACAAGATGTCGGTTTCCAAATCTGCTAACCGTGTATTGTATTCAATAAAAATTAATTTTAATGAAAAAATTCCTGGACGTCAGGCTGCGACCTATGGAGCAGGCCCGGGACATAGCCTACAGCGCGAACCAGCATCCGCATGAGATCGTGGCCTAGTGGATAGTGCCGGCGCCTATCAAACTTTTGCAAAATTATGCCCAGGGTTCGGAACTTTTTGTGATTTATTGTTTTGCTTTTTGGTTTTTCCTGCCATTGAAATCGAATTTGGAATTATCGAGCAAAAAGCAAAAGAGTTTTACTAGCGAGGAGTCGAACCCGCTGGCAAAAAAGACAAAAACTTATGAAGCAAGCGCACTACCAATAGGCCAGCTGCTCATCGCCGGCGGGGAAGCCTAAAGGGGGCTATGTTGACGCGCACCCAGATGGCCGAATCTGCGGATCAGGCGGAAAATGATGGTTAGATTAATGATTTTCAAATTAACTTTTTATTGAACCGCGTACACGGTTAGCAGATTTGGAAAACGACATCTTGTTCAGAATTTTTTTTCTCTATCGAACTAGCTAGGTCTCGTTCATAAACTCCAATATCACCTAAAAACGACTCCTTGTTAGGCTCAGGCTTAGGCTAGACTTTGCTTAGACTTAGGCTTAGCTTAGAGTTAGGCTTAGGTTTGTTAGGCTTATGCTTAGGCATATGCTTAGGCTTTTCCTAAAAAGCGCTAGAAGCAAGTTTTCCACCCAAAATATAACTTTTTTTATTAAAATTTGTAAACCTAGTAGAGTACGGCCAAGGAGGCGGAGTTTTGGCGTCATCGGGGGAACCAACAATGGGCCATTTTTTATCAAAATTTCGACTTTTCGAGAATTTTTTAAGTTTTTAGATAGGTTTTCTAGCTAAACTCAAGTTTTTATTTGACTAAAAACACTTTTAAAACACTTGCTATTAATTTACTAGTCATTTCTAGGCTTTAACCGAAATCCCCCCACCCGATAATGCGAAAGAACCGTAAAACCCGCTTTTTTCGGAACACCCTGTAAAAGTAGGACAAAGATGAGGGAGACATACAGACCCCTCAAGTCGATCGACGCCAGAACACCCCCCGTGGCACATATCCACACTTTCGCTGCATGATTGGCCCAACGGTGTGTGTGTGTTTTTGAGGGGAGAGTAGCGTAGAAGAATCAGCAGAACGGGGGCATCCTGCCAATGAGAAACACATAGCTGTGAAGAGACGCGCCCGGGAAACGGGACGCGCTGGGTGGCAGCGCGCGTAAAATGTAGTAAAGAGTCGGAAAAGAACTGAAGAAAGCCATTCTTCAACCCGTTGGCTAACTAAAAAAAAAGTAAATAACTAAAAATAAATAATTAATAATAATATATTTAAAATGATAAAAGCTTTTTTTCGGTCCTACTCGACTATCGGGGGCTGAACTTAAAAAACCTATATTCCAACTCCAGAAATACCTAAAGAATTTTCAAAAGCCTGAAAAAGTCGCAATTTTGGTACGAAAAATCAATCTTTTTGATGTTTTTTTTCATAAAAATGTGTAAGTTTTCACGTTTAGGAATAGTGAAAAATATTTCAAGTAATTTACTTTTATTTTTTATTTTCTAAAAATGAAGTGCAACAAAAATTGTTTCAAAAGCAACGTGACGCTCCAAATTACGCTCCTTTTCGTTGCACTACGTAGCCCCACAAGGGTACGGTATCGGCACGGAAACGCATTTCATATTTCTGGTCGAAATTTTTTTCTCTCCTTCTCAAATTTTCTTTTAATTTTTTTTGCGCCTCGTTTCTTACTCTACTTTATAAGCTACTTTTCGCGTTTTATTGCCACTTCCGCATACCAATTTTTAGAAGCGTGGTTGACGATGGTCTACTTCGTCTGCGGGCGCTGCAACGATTCGCTGAAGAAGCAACAAGTACAAACCCACGAATACAAGTATGCTTCGGCTTATCTGCTTCAAATCCCTTTTAGATGCCGCTCGAACCAGTACTCATGCGTCGATTGCCAGTCCACATTCACGTAAGCCTGTCGCCACATTTCTCCAACACCGCTTTAGGGGCAAGAGTTACGACGAACACCGAAAATGCATCACCGAGAATGAGAAATACGGCGGCAAGAATTTTGTGGCGAAAGTGAACAAGGTAAATAGTTTTGGAGTTTTTTTTAGATAACCCCAAATTTAGGGCGAAGCCAAACAGAACCAATGGACCGATCAGGTCGAAAGGGCCATCACCGCCGTCAACGAGCCGGGCCTCAAGGATTTGCTGCAGCGCATCACGGGCTTTTCGAACATACCGCGAAAGGTTTAGCCCTTGTTGAATGCTAAGGTTTTTGCAGGAGGCCAAGTTCATCAACTTCCTCATGAACTCGATCCGCATCCACAACAGAAACCTTTGCGAACGCGCCTGGGCCGCTATTTCTGAAGAAGCGAGGAAAATCCAGGTTCCATTGGCTTTTCTTCCTCTAAGTGAAATGTTAGGAAGAAGAGGCAGCCGCCAAGAAGCAGGACATCGAGAAGAGCGAGGAAGAGCCAAGCGCCATGGTCGAGGAAAGCAAGGAGGAAAAACTAAATGTATCATCATGGTCTTGTTTGGAAATCAAAGCTTAGGTCAACGGCCCCCTCAAATGGAAGGCTTCGATCAAGCGGAAGCTTGACGATGCTGGTGGAGAGATGCAGGTTGTTGCGCGCCTTTTCCACTTATGATGAAAATTTAGGTGAAAAAGCTCAAAGAAGCAATGCTCGACGAATTCCTCGCGACCGGTGGCGTGAAGGAAGATTTCGACGGCGTCTTTTGCTACAAGCTTCGGAAGGCGGATGCGTACGTCAAGGGCGACTCGGTTCGACTGCCTGTTTACGGAGCGTCGACGCGATCTTGAAATATATAGGCATTGCCAATGGTTTCCCTCGTTATGTGTCATTTCATGTTGTTAGTTTACTGGATAAAGATTCTTGTCTGTACTTGGATCTAAAATGCAAAGTATAATTGCTTTCACTTATATCTTTATCGCTATTAGGCATGACAGCTGTCCTAAATTATAGGTATTTTCCCAGCAATGCAACGTATTCTGCTACTCCTCCTCTTGTGGCTCTTCCTCCCTGCGGTTGCTCTACATTCGAATCGTATTGTGACGGTGCCCAGCAATGCGTCTACCGTGACCAACTCGAGCGCCCCCAGCGAGTTCCCCTCGACCGATCGCTTCATGTCAGGCGATAGAGTGGGCTCTGTCCTTCACGCTGGATTCTTCAGAAGGGATCTGCTACATGTGGCAAAGACGGAACCGAACTTTTCTTTCGACCGCGGACATGTCACGCTCAAGAACGCTACGACGACTTTCCGCTGGATGAACCGCCCCTACCAATG